TTTCGAAGAGGCTCCCTGCTGCGTGCAGCCTGTTCAACAGAGATTGGTCACCCAAACCTTAACAAGCTGGGGGAGTTCGAGAAGCCAGGCAGAGCTTGCGGATGGTGAGGGAGCTCCAGATTTTTTGGAGCTGTGAGCTCTTGTTGCAAAACGACATCGACTTTAGCCCTCCTGCCCTGGGTCTTGGGACAGCCTGGCGCTTTTGGGCAGCGAAGGCTCACGAGCTCTCACACGTCCGCACGACCTGGGGCTACTACCCCCCTCCCGAGCACAGCTCCGAAATCCCAAAACCTGACCCCCCCCCCGACAAAAAAGCAGGACTAGTCCCACAGAAGCCTGAGGTAGCAGTGCAAGAGGCTGAAGGAGTGCTGGAGTCTCAAAATCCCGATCTCCGGCCGGCCGGAACGCAGGACTGTTTCTACTAGAAGACCCCTTGCAGCTGAACGGCAGACGCATGTCCCTTGAGGAGCAACAAGTGAGCCAGCCTGCAGTTCAGTGAGCACGCTCGTCCCCCAAGCCAGATCTTCCAGAGATCGGGTCCTGTTCCCGGCCGGCCCGCGCGCGCGCGAGAGAGAGAGGAGAAACCGAGGTGTCCTTACCTATCAGCAGGGCGAGCACGAACCCGAGGGGACAGCGTTTGCCCGCTCGCAGGCACCTCTGCCACGGGGACGGCGTTCCTGTCCTGTCCCGTCCCATCCTGTCCCGTCCAGGAGGAGGAGGAGAAGAGAAAGAGAGAGAGAGTGTCCCGGGCAGCAGGTCGTGGAAAGACGTCTGGGTCTCTCAGAGTCCTGCAGAGGAATCTCTTCGCCCCCTTCCCTCCCCCCCCTCCACCAGCGCCACCATCAACACCTCCGCCAACAACAAAAAAAAAAGCCTGCCGTCCAGTCCTGGCGATGCCCACTCCGACAGCGCGCGCGCGCGTGAGAGAGAGAGGAGAGAGTTTGGCACAGATTAAAAGAGAGAGAGGAAAAAAGTGCCGCAGCACAGGGGCAGGCTCCCGGGTCTGTCCGCATGTGTTAGAAAACGGCCCCGGCTTGCCAGCAGGATGCCTGATAAGGCAGCCAGGCAGATGCTCTCCGCAGTCGAAAGGCCGGATAGCAGGAAAAATGCAGGCAAAGTGAAGAACAGGTATGAGTGAGAGAGAGGAGCTGCAGCAGCAGCAGCAGCAGCAGCACTAGCACTGGCGGCAGGGCCGACGCAGATCTGATTGCACTTGGACGCCCGGGGTCTGGGGAGCATTCCGCACCGGAGGATCCAGTTATCCCACAGTAACTCCTGTTTGCCGGAGACTCAGGGTCGTCCCTCGCTC